TGAAATTAATCTGTTATGCTTCAGACTTTGCTACAACTCAGAACTTGAGCTTTAGGGAATTCAAATGTGATTCGTATTTAAAATAATGCACCTCACCAACAAATATAATTTCTCTTCAAAGGGAGAAAAGAACAAAGATCTTTCTTTTGTAATTATTAATAATGAAAAGTAAAGAGCTACAAGTTTAGAGCTCCTATAGTTATAATATTTGCTCCTATAAGGAATGAGAAAAATCACTCAGTGTGCCATGTTTGTATTAAAAATGATTAAAGTTGAAGGCAATGAAATTATTTGAGCTTCTGCTTATACCCACAGATGATGCATGAACGGATAAATGCAGGAGGCAATGTTTCCATGGTGAGGAACTTTGTCCTGCTGGGGTTTTCGGACCTTCCAGAGCTCCAGGGCTTCCTGTCTGGGGTGTTCACCATCATTTATTTGATTATCTTAATTGGAAACAGCCTCATCATCACCATAACAATCCTGGACCCTGCACTACAGAGACCCATGTACTTTTTCCTGGCTAACTTTTCTTCTCTAGAAATCTGTTATATTTCAGTCACTCTCCCTAGGATTCTCTTTGACCTTTGGACTCAGAAGAGAAACATTTCTGTGCTGGGCTGCGCCATGCAGCTGTGTTTCTTCCTTATGTTAGGAACCACTGAGTCCTTCCTGCTTTCCGTGATGTCTTATGACCGCTATGTGGCCATCTGTCACCCTCTGCGCTATCCTCTGCTCATGAACCCAAAGAAGTGTGCTCAGCTGGCAGCTGCCTCCTGGCTGGCCCCAGTCCCAGTCCAGATAGGGCAAACGTGCCAGATTTTCTCTCTGCATTTCTGTAAGTCCAACCAAATCCCCCACTTCTTCTGTGACATACCCCCCATTCTCCAGCTGGCCTGTGGGGACACTTCTGCTCACGAGCTGTCTGTCTATGTAGTGGTCATGTTGGTTGCTGCTGTCCCTTTCATGCTGATCCTTGCCTCTTATAGCAAAATTGTTTCCACCATTCTGAGGTTGCCAACAGCCCAAGGCCGGGCCAAGGCCTTCTCCACGTGCTCTTCCCACCTGCTGGTTGTCGTGCTGTTTTTTGCATCTGCTAGCCTTGCCTACCTAAGGCCAAAGTCCAGCCACTCTGCAGGAACTGATAAACTGCTGTCTCTCTTGTATGCTATCGTGACTCCCATGTTCAACCCCTTGATTTACAGCCTCAGGAACAAAGACGTGATTGTGGCACTGAGAAAATTATTTCTTAACTACACAGTGCCATGATTCTCCTTGACTTTTTTGTCATATAGTTGTCATCGAAACACTTTAACACTCCACAGTCTGCATTTGAGAATATAATGTGTTTTTACTATATTCATATATTCACTTGGAGTATACTGTGCCTGGATGTAGAGTAGAAACACCTAATTAAAAATAAGTTTCAGTATGCATCACATTTCTCCTTAACTGTATAAATTCAAAATGCTGTCATGTTGATTATATTTAGTGGGCATTATTTTCCTAAGTGCCCATACAATAGTTGCATTTTATGATATTTTTTAAATCTATACAGCATAGGGCTGGGGATTTAGCTCAGTGGTTCGGTGGCCTGCCTTGCAAGCTCAAGGACCCGAGTTCAATCCCTAGTATCAAAAAATAAAAAAACCAACAACAACAATAAATCTATACAGCATATAATAGCAGTTACCAATACTAGTTAAACAACTAATGCTTATGGCATGAGTGATTCAGTGAATGAGTACACATGTGAATGAATCTTGAAAAAAATCCATAGATTTTACAGAACCAGTATTAGAATTTGTTTATTTAACTAACTGTGTAGGACTTTGTAATTCTTTCTTATTGATACCAGAAGAAAAGTTCACATTGCTTAGACCTGTGCTTAATAATTGTCTGGGAGGACACATGATTTAAGGTCACACTCCTGCTTCCTTAAACTGATTGTATGTTATACATATATTTCCCTCTTTCTGTTATTACCCAAGTTAATCTCTTTTTAATTACTTAATCTCTGTTAACCACAATAAAAATATATAGAAAGTTTCATACCTATACATTGTTGCAAATATAATTTTTTAAAATAATTTCTGAGATTACTTACTTTCATAGATTCACTGCATTTGTTTACTAAAATATTTTACCTTAAACCCAGATGAATTATATAATATTATTTAATATTTAACCTGGTAGGATTGAGGAAACTGAGCAAGATTTAAGAGAATCCCAAATGTCCCACCTTCAAATGCAAGGGTCTCAAAAACATGTCACTTTAAGGCTTCTTTGTTGTGACATTTCTTTCTTCTTTTAAATGTATTTTATAGTTACATTTCATGTATACAACATAATGGTCTTCATTGTTGGAAATTTGTACCTTTGCGTAATCAACCATGGTTCTTATTTTTACCTGTCGCCTGCCCTTCCATCAACCCCTCCCTTCCTATCTGCAAAGACTTTGTTTCCATTACTTTTCATTTTCTCATATTAATTCCATTCCCCTCTTTCCTTTCCCCTGCCCCTTCCAATTCCCCCCCATTTTCACCTTTTCTTTTTATTTCATATTAGCTATTATACCTTTTAGTCCTTATTTACTATTTCAGTTTCTCACACTAGAGAAACTATTTGTTATTTACACCATGTGTCCTATTAATTTCACTAAAGAGTATCACCTCAATGTGCATCCCTTTAGCTATATATGTCTCTAATTTCTCATTTTATGGATGATTACTATTCCAATTTATAGAAAATAAAACATTTTCTTTATCCAGTCTCCTGTTGATGGGCATTTGGGCTGCTTCCAAGTTTTAGCTATTACAAATTGTGCTGCTATGAACATGGGTGCACATGTATCACTGTGGTGTGATTCTTTTAATTCTTTAGGGAAGATAGCAGAGGAATGGCTGGGTCCAATGAAACTTCCAATCCTAGTTCTTTGAGGCGTCTCCATACCTCTTTCCACAGTGGTTGCGCCATTCTACATTCCCATGAGCAGTGGGGCAGTCAAGGTTCCTCTTTCCCCACAGCACTGCCAGCCTTTGTTATTGGCTGTATTCGTAAGAGCAGCCATTCTTTCTGGGGTGATGTGGAATCTCAGCGTTGGTTCCATTTGCGTCTCTTGGATGACCTGTGATGTTGAACATTTTTTCTTATGTTTATTTGCTATTTCTACTTCTTTTTATGAGCGATATCTATTCTTTTCAGATGTACATTTCTGGATTGGGTCCTTAACTTGGGGAGGTCTGATTTTTTTAACTTATTTATATATTCTAGATAGTAGATCTTTGTTTGATGATCAGCTGGTGAAAATTTTTTCCCACATTGTGGTTTGTCTCTTCACACTGCTGGTGGTTTCTCTTGCTCTGCAGAATCTTTTTTGTTTTGTTCTTTTGTTTTGTTTTGTTTTCGGTTTGTTTGAGACAGGGTCTCACTATGTAGTTGAGACTGCCTTGCAACTCACTATGTAGCCCAGGCTGGTCTCAAACTCACACTGATCCTCCTGACTCAGCCTCTTGAGAGCTGGCATTACAGGCGTGCACCACCATGCCTGGCTGCAGAAACTTTTTAATAAGAGGAGATCCCACTAGTTGATTGATTGTGCTAGCTCACAGGCTGCTAAAATTTTGTTCACAAAATCTTTTACTGTGCCAGAGTTCTACCTAACCTCTCTGTCAGACAGTTAAGTGTTTTTGTTTTAGTATTTAGATCTTTAATCCATTTTGATTTTAGTTTAGTGCTTGGAGAGAGATATAGGTCTAGTTTTAATCTTTGGCACATAGAAACCCAGTTTTTCCAACACCATTTATTAAAGTGGTTATTTTGCCTCTGTGATGGTGTTTGGCTCTTTTTTCAAAGATGAGGTAGCTGAGTATGTCTGGACTTGTTTCTGCACCTTCCAATCTGCTCTACTGGTCCTCGGGTCTGTTTCTTTTCTAGTCCAGGGCTGTTTTTATCACAGTAGCTTTGGAGTATATAGTTTCACATTGTGGACTGTGATACCCCTAACTTCTCTTTATTGCCTGAAACAGCGTTTGCTATTCTAAATATCTTCTTGTTCCAAATGAATTTGTGGATTGTTTTCTCAAGATCTGTGAAGTATGCTGCTGGAATTTCAACTGGCATTGCATTGAATCTATAGAGCAGTTTTGGCAGTATGGCCATTTTTATTATGTTGATTCTTCTTACCCAGGAGCAACGGATGACTTTCTATTTTCTGATATCCTCATCGATCTCCTTTTTCATAGTGCCGTATTTTTCAGAGTAGAGGTCTTTGGTTCCTTTCCTTAAGTTGAATTCTAAGTATTGCAATTTTTTGGATGCTATCATGAAAGAAATTTTTTGTTCCATTTTTCCTCTAGTGAGTCTGTTTTCCATGTACAGAAAAGCTATTGATTTTTCTGTGTAAACCTTGTATCCAGCCACTTTCTGGAATGTGCTTATTAAGTCTAGAATGCTTTTGGTGGAGTTCTTGGTGTTTTCTATATGGAGTATCATGCCATCTGCAAATATTGAGAATTTGAATTTTTTCTTTCCTATCTTTATTCCTTTTATTTCTTTCTCTTGTCTAATTGCTCTGACTAATGTGTCCAAAACTATATTGAACAGGAGAGGTGATAGTGGACCTCCTTGTCTTCTTCCTGATTTGAGTGTGAAGGATTTCAGTTTTTGACCATTTAGTATGATATTGCTTGTTGGCTTTTCATAGATGGCTTTTATCAGATTAAGGTAGAGACTGTCTATTCCAATTTTCTGTAAGTTATTTTTTTTATCATGAATGTGTGTTGAATTTTGTCACATGCTTTGTCTGCATCTATTGAGATGATAATATGCTTTTTATCCTTGGCTCTGTTTAAATAGTGTATTACAATTACTGATTTTTGTATGTGGAGCCATCTATGAACCCCTGGGATAAATCTGACTTGATCAGGGTGTATGATCTTCGGGATGATCTTCTGGATTCTATTTGCCAGTATCCTATTAAGGATTTTTGCATCTATGTTCATTAGTGAGATTGGCCTATAGCTCTCTTTTTTGGTTGGATCTTTCTCTGCTTTGGGGATAGAGGTGTTGCTTGCTTTCAGGAATGTATTTGGGAGTATTGCTTCCCTTTCAATTTCACTGACGTAAGAGTAGTGGCAGTAGTTCCTCTCTAAATGTCTTGTAGAACTCAGCAGTGAAGCCATCAGGGATCAGGACTTTTCTTAGTTGGTAAGCATTTAATTACATTTTCAATTTCATTGATTGATATTGGGTTGCTTAGAATTTTTAGGCCATCTTTGTCCAACTTTAGTAATTCATACAAATCTAGGAATCTGTCCATTTTCGTCATAAGACTACTTTCATTGTGTCCCATGGATTCTGGTATGTTGTATTGTCATTGTCATTTAATTGTGGGAACTGTCTGATATCTTTTATAATATCCTTTGTGACACATTGGTTATTCAGGAGTGTAGTGTTCATTTCCCATGTGTTTGTGAAATTCTTGTGGTTTATTTATCTATTGATCTCCAATTTCATTGTACTATGTTCTGATAATATACAGGGCATCATTTTATCTCTTTTGCACTTACTTAGACATGTTCTATGATCGAGTATGTGGTCTATTTTCGAAAGTGACCCACGTGTGCTGAAAAGAATGTGTACTCTGATTTTGTTGGGTAAAACACTCTGTAAACATCTGTTAAGTTTATGTTTTAAGAGTTTGAGTTTCAGTATTTTGTTGTTTATTTTCTATCTAGTTGATCTATCTATTTGTGACAGTGAGGTACTGAGGTTCCCCACTACTATTGTGTTAGTGCTCATTTGATTTTTTATGTCCAGTAGTATTGGTTTTATATAATTTGGTGCACTAGTGTTTGGTGCATGTATATTTTTTATTGTTATCTCTTCCTCTTGGATTTTCCCTTTATAAGCAGGTAGTGTCCTTCTTTGTCTGTCTTAATCAATGTGGCTTTGAAATCCATGTGATCGGCAAAGAGGATAGCTACTCCTGCTTTTCTTTGGGTTCCTGTTGCATGGGGTATTGTTTTTACCTTTTGACTTTCAGTCTATGAGTTTCTTTTTGAATTAAATGTGTTTCTTGAATGGAGCATATTGTTAGATCTTACTCTTGACCCATTCTACCAATCTATTTCTTTTTATTGGTGAATTGAGACTATTAACATTGAGAGCAAAACTGATATGTATTGACTTATCCTTGTCTTGACATTTTCTTCTTGTTGGATTCTCCCCATTGCTTTTAATTTCTTGTCATGCTTGATGGATTCATTCTGTTGGGCTTCCTGGGTTTTTATGTTCATTTTCACTTTCTAGGATATTTCTTAAAGTTTTTCTAAGGTATTCTTTGTCATGAAAGTATCTTATTTCTCCATCAATTTTGAAAGACAGTTTTGCAGGGTACTTCAGTCTGGTTTGGTGGCTCTTTTCCTTTAGGGCTTGAAATACTTCACTCCAAGCTCTTCTTGCCTTGAGGATTTGTGTTGAGAAGTCTACAGTGATTATGATAGGCTTTGCTCTGTATGCGATTTGTTTCTTTTTTCTGACCACTTTTAGAATCGTATCCTTCTATTTGGGTTTCTGGAATCTTAATGATTATATATCTATGTGTACATTTTTTATCAGCACCATTTGGAGTTCTATGTGCCTCACTTACATGTATGTCAAATTGTTTTCCCCTACTTGGGAAGTTTTCTGCCATTACTTCTGTAAACAGTTATTTTTATGCCATCTGCACTGTCCTGTTTCTTCATTGATTCTGATTAGTCTTATATTATTCTTTTTTGCATCATCTAGCAACTGGTGGATTGTTTTCTCATGTTCCCTTACTATTATTAAGACATGTTTATTTTCCTGGTCACTAACTGCAATCCTATCTTCTATATCTGAAATTCTATCTTTGCATTGTCTCATTCTCCAGTGTAAACCTTCAGTGGAGTTTTTAATCTCCTGAAAATCTGTTTGCATTTGTTTTATCATTTCCATTTGTTTCCTATGTTGGAATTCCTTCATGTTCCTCAGCTCCTCTATTTTTTTTATCCTTGTCAGCTCTAGATTTAGTAATCATATCTTGCAGGATGGGCACAATTTCTGCTATTACCTGAGAAATTATTTGTGATTCAAGTTTTTCCATATCCTCTTTTGTTGCTAGTTCAGGGAGTCCAGGTTGTTAAGAATCAGACTGTTTCATCTTTTTTCCCTTTGGGTTGCCCTATGTCATCTGGAGCTCTGTTTTGGGGATTTATTACCATGTCTTCTCATTTCAACAGTTGCAGCCTGTTGCACCTTTATTGAGACAACCTTTTGCTCACCCAGTGGCCTTCAATTCTAAGCAAGGCACAAAGGGCTTTTTCTGATGCTCAACAGTACACAAATTCCTGGGTTCAAGCCACTGTTCCATGGGCTGGGTCTCTGACTGAAGCTTGTATGCCTGTTCATCTGTTTTTGGGGTGGACCCTGGCTAGGCAGTTTTGCTGCAGCCTCTGGGGTCCTGGAGGACACCTGGCTGGGATCTGCCTGCAGCTGCACTGATCTGGACCACACCACTGCTCCCTGGGATCTGCACACACATGGGGCAGGCCTCTGACTGAAGCTTTTGTGCCTCTGCAGCTCTTTCCTCAGTGGGTCTTGGTTGGGTGGGTTTGCCCCAGCCTGTGGGGTTGGAGCCTGCCTGGGATCTGCCTGCAGCCTCTCTGGCCTGTACCACACACACTACAGTCTATTGTCCTAGAAAAACCTCTTTACATGTGATCAGCAATTTCAAGAAGTTTCAGTCCATAGTTGACTTACTCCAAGGCAAGGCAGCATGACAGAGGCATTGCAGAAGAGGAATATTTCATGACAAGGAGAAGGCAAAAAGTCAACAGCAAGCAGCAAGCAGCCTGTTGTTACATATCATATGACAGTTATTCCAATCTGTGTTTTAACTCTGACTGTAAACACATATATAAGGCACGTGATAAGGGCCTTTTTAGTTTTTAACCATTTGCACTTTGTAGTATCTAACATATGACAATACATTTTATTCATATGTTTCCTACATGAAAATTTGCATATATACTTCATACAGTGTTTCATGTGCATCAAATACTTGGCTTCTGGTACATGTGAAAGACCATGCTAGTGACCACCGTGATGATAATGACCCAGAACACCCAGTCTTCAGGCCAGTCTGCCACACACCCCTCACCTCTCTACCCAGGAAGAGACTTTTCCACAATGAACAAGAGCTTCAGATGGAGACCAAGACCCACTTTTCAAATAAACTTTTATTCACCTGATATATTGTAAACATATTCATCACGGGGTATGGTGCACACACATTTTGCATCTTGATCCTCTTCACTTTTTTCTCCTCCTTCTCTCCTTCCTGTCCTCTCCCAAGTGCAGGTCCGATCGCTAAATGCAATTTTATATTTTGATTATAAAGGGATATTAATGATAAAAATCATCTCATAGCCGGTGACAGGGCAACTCAGCTGGAAATGACATACTGTATCCTTTTTCTCAGCTTGGTAGACTCTTAATTTTAGTTTATATCAGGAGTTATATCTAGAAATTCTGCAAGGCTTTTCCAGTTTGTACTCCTTAAAAGAAATAGGTGAGAGGTCCCATTTCAATATGCTGTCTCCCATCTCATTTTCAGGGGAAGGTATGATGAGGCCAGACAGGAAGTGTGCAGCTGGTGGAGGAAGATGATAGTGAAGAGAACACAACCATCTGGCAACCCTAGAAATCACATCTCCATGTTGGGTGGTAGAAAAACAGACTTCCTAGTCTCACACATGGTGTGCAGGCACCCTGTAAAGAGCATGTCATTTGGCGAGATCATCATACTGTTTTGTTATGAGCTAGGCTTGTAGTTTTTAGCAGTCACTGAGAAGGATGCCTGTCTGCCAACTTATGGGATCAGCATGGCCTCAGAAGGCTTTGGTGTCCTCCAAATTCCTTGGGTGGCAGGCAGAATACTTTAGCTCAATTAGAAGGTTACTTGAGAAAGAGTTCATCCCCAGGGTGGAAATACATTGTACTTAAAGCACATTATCAGTTCTGATGACAGATCATATTTGAGCTGGCTGTTACGCTCTCTTTCAACAAATTACCAAGCCTGGAAATAAATCCTTCTTCTTCCTCTCTCATTTCTTATGCAGACAATAAAGGTACATATTATGTTTTACTTTGATTCAAACATCCTTCCATGTAATGGAAGTTAAATTCTATACGTATCTGTATCTTTTGCACTGGGAAATAACACCTAATTACACCAAATTTTTAAAAATAATTTTTGTATGAAGTTTCAAAATACTAATGCAGATATGCTTTGTGCTTTCCTAGCTTTATTTATGACAAGATGAATTAAGATCTAAATGACAAGTACTTTTTGTATAATAAGATCGTATATTAAATAGTATGATTTTGTCAGTAGCAGCATTGTGATTCTTGCTATTTATGAAAGTATTACTTTGTGTAAGTTTATATTTAAGCATTGTGTCTGTAGAAAGTCCCAGAGTGTTATCTCTGTACAACTTTACATAATTAAAGAGTGAGACACAGAGTGAACATCACTGAATTGGCTTCTCTATCAAAGGGTGGCCTACGTTTGGCTTACTGGTCCCACACAAGTGTTGAGTCTGGGTGAATGGGAAGTGAGTAAAATATGATTATGGTATGGAGGGAAATATAGCAAAAAATTGTACAGATTTGTCTTAACTTGAAGTCATATTTTTGTAATGCCTTAATTAAATATTTAGTTCTGACCATTGTAGAAACTCAGTTACAGAACTTCTTTTTGGCAGGATGTGCCATTAATTTTTTTTTTTACTTTTTCTGATACATACATACTATGTATGTTACTGTATTTATATTCTGCCATGTGCTGTTTGCACATTCTACACTGCATAATTCTCAATTCAGAGTAAATTTATTTCCACAAATGTTTGTTTTTATGACAGAAACTTTCAAAATGTTTCCTATTTCCCTTTCAAAAGTAACTGTGGAGTGGCACGTTCTCTGTTTTCCTTTTAATTGTTGGCAAAGCACAGCTCAAACACTAACCAGAGCTTCAAGTGCTCTTGTCCACCTGTCGGCCTCACCTCCTGCGTTCTTTTCTCTTCCAGGTGATAATCGAGTTATTTCAGTCTTCCAGTCTTGAGCATCGCATTTCATCCAGGAAAGTATATAATTATATAAGTTTATTAGGCAGTGTTTAGGATGTACCTTTGTGCGTTTCTGCACTTTTTCTATGATAACAGGAAATTATGTATCTTTCCTTTCATTTTCAGAAAATCTTCAGGGTGCCCCTTGCTGCATGGGCTGTTATTTCTTTATTTGCGTGAGCGTGTGTGTGTGTGTGTGTGTGTGTGTGTGTGTGTGTGTGTATGACAGTTTTATAATAGTGAAGACTGAATAGGGGTTTTATGCAGCCCTGTATATACTTTTATTTTCAGATAGGCTCTCCCGGTGCTGCCGGGTTTTACGGGAGACCTTCCTCCTCAGCCTCCCAGACAGCTGGGATCACAGATGTGCCAGATGCTCCCAGCACCTGCATCTGTGTATTTGCTAAACTCCCGTTGTGATCACTGTGCTGACTCACCACGAGTCTCAGTTTAGGGATATTGTGCGTCTCTTCTGCATGATGATTTAGTCTCCTCTGCTTTTCAAATAACAAAAAACATAGATGTGATCCAGTGCATAGCAAAAACAGTGCGATGAACTGCTACTTCAGCAGGAGATGTGAAATCACAGTAGTTGGTAATTGCCCAACTAACCACGCATCCTGAGCACACACAGACACACAGAGTTCTACTCAATCCGTGTCTGGGGGAGAGACCTGCAGATTGGGGATAACCTGGTGTGCCCCCTGGGGACAAGTCTTGTCATGCAATCAATTCCACTCATTGGTCATTTCAAAGTTAAGTTAAGGGGTCCAATTTTGTGAAAAACTGAATTGCATACAATATGTGCAGAATACCAACCTAAATGTCCATATAACTGTAGTGATAAAGAAAGAACATAGTAAGAAGAATAATCACTGTCCAATACACTCAAATATATAAAAACACGTGTAAGCAACCATTTAGGAAAAGATGGAATACAACAAAAAATGTGAAGAAGCAACATTTAGTGAAGACCTGAGTGATGCAGGGACATCATGCAGAAGAGTTCTGGTCTTCATTCCTTCTCTACAATAAATGCACAGTTCAAATCTGCACATTCTAATTCATCACTTCCTTGGTCATAGATTCTGGCTGAACCTTTTAAATAATGAGCTTTACCAGGAAGGAAACAAGTTCATTGCTCTTCTTGAAAAATCACGATAAAGCTTACAAATGCTAACTTCACAGATCTAACATTAAAGTGCAAATAAAACAGGAAAATTATCTAATATCCTGTTTTATAGTTATGTCTTATTACTCCTTTATAATAAAGAAGCATGTCATACAGAAAACAAAAGCTGAATAAAACTATAAAGCAGATACCAGAAGAAATAAAATAAAATTCACTGTATGAAGCTCTAAGAACTATTATGGATTTTATAAAAGTATCTACTTAATACAATTCACTTATAACTGAAAATGATAGGAAGGGAAATTGACAGGTGAGGACTTCATGGTAAATTAATGAAATTAATAATTGTTTTGCTTCAGACTTTGCTACAAATCAGATCTCGAGCTTTAGAGAATTCAAATGTAAATAACATTTAAAATAATGCATCTCAACAAAAAATGTAATTTATCTTCAACGGGAAAAAAGAATAAAGTCCTTTCTTGTGTATTTATTAATAACACCAAGTAAAAAACTACGAGGTTAGAGCTCCTATATTTATGATATTTGCTCCTATAGCGAATGGGAAAATCACTCAGTGTGCCATGTTTGTATTAAAAATGATTAAAGTTGAAGGCAATGAAATTACTTGAGCTTCTGCTTATTCCCACAGATGACACCTGAAGGGATACATGCAGGAGAGGAGGCAATGTTTCCATGGTGAGGCACTTTGTCCTGCTGGGGTTTTCGGAACTTCCAGAGCTCCAGGGCTTTCTGTCTGGGGTGTTCACCATCATTTACTTGGTTGTGCTAATTGGAAACAGCCTCATCATCACCGTAACAATCCTGGACCCTGCACTACAGAGACCCATGTATATTTTCCTGGCAAATTTTTCCTCTTTGGAAATCTGTTATGTTTCAGTCACTCTCCCTAGGATTCTCTTTGACCTTTGGACTCAGAAGAGAAACATTTCTGTGCTGGGCTGTGCCACACAACTGTGTTTCTTCCTTATGCTTGGAACCACTGAGTGCTTCCTGCTGGCCGTGATGTCCTATGACCGCTATGTGGCCATCTGTCACCCTCTGCACTATCCTCTGCTCATGAACCCAAAGAAGTGTGCTCAGCTGGCAGCTGCCTCCTGGCTGGGTCCAGTTCTTGTGCAGATAGGGCAAACGTGCCAAATCTTCTCTCTGCATTTCTGTAAGTCCAACCAAATCGCCCACTTCTTCTGTGACATACCCCCCATTCTCAAGCTGGCCTGCGGGGACACTTCTGCTCAGGAGGTGTCTGCCTATGTGTTAACACTGCTGGTTGGTGCTGTCCCCTTCATGCTGATCCTTGCCTCTTATTGCAAAATCGTTTCCACCATTCTGAGGTTGCCAACAGCTCAAGGCCGGGCCAAGGCCTTCTCCACGTGCTCTTCCCACCTGCTGGTTGTGTTGCTCTTTTTTGGATCGTCTACCATTACTTACTTCAGACCAAAGTCCAGCCATTCTGCCAGAACTGACACACTGCTGTCTCTCTTCTACACTGTCGTGACCCCCATGTTCAACCCCTTCATTTATAGCCTGAGGAACAAGGATGTGATTGTGGCACTGAGAAAATTATTTTTTAAAAACACAGTGCCATGATTCTCCTTGATGTTTTGGTCATATAGTTGCTGCCAGAGAACCATTTTAAAACTCTGCCATCTCTGTTTGAGAAGTTAATGTGCTTTTATTACATTTATATCCAGGCTTGCAATGTACTGTGCCTGGATGTATTGTGGACCCACCAACTATCATCAGGAAGCCATGCCTGGACATGGTAAATTAAATTTTCATGTGCATCAACTTTACCCTGTAAATCTATCTATTCAAAATTCTGTCATGTTCATACCATTTACTGGACATTATTTTCCTAAATGCCCATATAGTGCTTGTGTTTTATTTTATACAGCATATAATAGTATTTTCCAGTAGTACTTAAACAATTAGTACTTATTGTGTGAGTGATTCAGTGAATGAGTAGACACCTGAATGAACCCTGAATAAATCTAGAGACATTGCATAACCAGCCGAAGAATTTATTTATTTCACTAACTGTGTAGGTCTATTTAGTTCTTTCGTATTGATTTCAGCAGAAAAGATCACAGTGTTTACCCTCTGCCTTATAATTTCCTAGGAGAATACATTATAAAAGGCAACAGTTCTGCTTGCTTACACTGGTTTTATTTTGTACATATATTTTTATCCTTTATATTTTGGCTCCAATTAATGTCTTTTTAATTATTTAATCTCTGTACAAATAATTGCAAATATGAAATTTTGTCAAATTATGTCTGTTGTTAATTAAAGTTCTCATGTATTTATTGCATTCGTTTACTCACATTTTTTATTGCAATCCCACCTAAAGTGTGTAAAATTATTTAATATTTAAACTGATATGACTGAGGAAAGTGAGCATGACTCAGTAGAATCCTGAATGTCCCACATTCACATGCAAGGGTCACAGGGATTTAGCTCGGTGGTTCCACCACATGCCTCACAAGTGCAAGGTCTTGAGTTCGATCCCTGCTACCAAAAAAAAAAAAAAAATCAAGGGTCTCAAAAACATGAGCCCCTCTAAGACATTTTTGTTGCTGGGTTTTATATGACTGTTATTCCAGTTGGTAGTTTTAACTCATTGTAAGTATGCATCCATGGCATGTGATAAGGGTCATGTTAGCTTTTCTTCTGAACATAGTTGTATTTCTCTGTGCACATCCTACTATCTAACATATGGCATTGCACTTCTCTCATCTGCTTTCTTCATGTGAACCTGCATTTATATATGTCTTCACGTGGTCTTTTTTGTGCATCAAGTATTTGGCATCTGGTAGATGAGAAGGACTGTGCTAGTGACCACTGTGATGACGAAGCCAGCAAATGCTAGCATTCAAGGTCCTTTTGCTGAAATATACAGTAGAATTCACAGTGTTTTAGGTACAGGGCTGTCCAATGAATTCAGGAAACTTAATATTTTTCCGTGAAATTTATTGGTACCTTTTCGGTATAGGTTATGATCACACCCAACACTGGAAATCTGTATCTCTACATTGTATATCTTGGTTCTTCCTATTTCCCAGCCCTCCCTTCAGCTCCTCCATCTTTCCTTGTTTACAAAGACATTGATTCCACCATTTCCCTTTTCACATATTTTTTCTTTTTCCTTTTTACCTTTCCACTACCCCTCCCACTTCCTCTACCCCTTTAGAACTTTTCTTCCTACTACACAATATCAATTATACATTTTATCCTTATTACGCTTTTAGTCTTTCACACCACAGAAACTATTTCATAATTACATGTGTGTCTTATTAATTTTACTTAAGAGTATGACCTCGATGTGCATCCACTTAGCTATAAATCTCTCTAGTTTCGGGTTCTCTGTGGACGAGTCCTACTCCATTTTATTAAAAATACCACATCTACTTTATCCAGTTTCCAGCTGATGGGCAATTGGGCTGTTTGCAAATTTTAGCTATGACAAACTGTGCCACTCTAAAAATGAGCCAGCATATATTGCTGTGGTGTAATTCTTCTAAATCATTTAGGAAGATACCCAGCAGAGGAATAGCTGGGTCAAATGAAGCTCTAGTCCTAGATCTTTAAGTTTTCTCCAAGTTGATTTCCACAGTGATTGCACCAGTCTGCACTCCCACCAATAATGAAGAAGAGTTCCTTTCTCCCCACAACCCCACCAGCATTTGTTACTCATTGATTTCTTGATAGCAGTGATTCTTTCTGGGGTGAGATGACATCTCAGTGTTGTTTTGATCTGCATCTCTCGAATGACCAGTGGTGTTGAACATTTTTTCAGATGTTTATTGGCTGCTTTTATTTCTTTGTGTGAGAAATGTCTGTTCATTTCAGATGCCTATTTTTGAGTCAGGTCTTTATATTTGGTGGGGGTCTGATTTTTTTGAGTTCTTTCTATATTCTGGATAGTAGGCATTTGTCTTAGGAACAGCTGGTAAAAATGTTTTCCCACACTGTAGGTTGTCTCTTAGCTCTTCTGGTGATTTCTCTTGCAGTGCAGAAGCTTTTTAAAAAGATGAGATTCCAGGAGGTGATTCTTTGTGCACGTCCACGTGTACATCTCTATGAATTGCACTCTGAGTGAACTTTCACCAATCTTCTAAGGTCGTCATACTTAGTATGTTCACTGTTGTTGCTCTCTACCATCCTTGTTATGATATTTTGTTTTGTTTTCTTCATAGAAGTAAGAAGACTGCTTTTTATATTGTATTTATTAGCCCCCACTGGTTCCACACTGCAGCAAGACAAGCGAATGCCCTGGGAGTAAGGCCCTGCCCAAGTGCTGGAATCTGCAGCCAGCGGCCTCAGCCCCGCCTCCTCCGCGTCACCTCTGAACCCCTTGCACTGCTGACCAAGGGCGCTGCAGATCGGGGGAGCGCTTTAAGCCTCGCCCTGGGGAGGCTTTGCAGGTCGGCCCGAGCTGCTCACAGGAGCCCTAGGAAGAGAAGGGAAAAGTCCTAAGCGCTGGCCCTGGGGAGGAAAAAAGAGCAAGGAGAAGGGAAGACGCAAATGTGGAACAGAGCTACCACCTCGCGGTCCCCTGGCTGCCGAGGCTGTGGGTCCCAAGTCTGAGGCCAGTGCGGGCTCCAGTCAGACCCAGTCCATGAGAGGAGAGGAAGAAGGTGGGAGGTGGTGCCCAGCACGCGGATCACTGCGCTGGCTAACTGGGGGTGCTGTCCTGACAGAAGGTAATCCGTTGTATGGTCAGTCTCCCTGCGGGGCGCTTATGAAGCCTTTGCCCATTAAAGGAAGGTTTCCGTGACTGCAGGGAGTACAGCGCATTCCCATAGCTGGTGGAGCCAGCATCCTCCAGTCAACCTTGGAGGGCACTGGAGAGTCTGCGCCTCACCTGGACGGGAGAGGACGCTCCCGCTTGGCCGCCTGCAAAATGCAACACTGGCCCGGATTCTGTCTCGGGTGTGAACTGTGGCAGAGGATTCTGCTGAGTCTCAGCCCAGGGGAGCTGTAAACAGATCCACGCAAGCAGCTGTTGGACACCTTTGTAACCATATTGGAACTAAGCCATTTGCTGTCCTAGGTCTCGGACAGCCAGTGCCCCTATAGGATGTCAGATTTATTAGGCTTCATAATCAGGGGGATAATTTCTTATACTAAATACAGTCCATAAGACGAATATATAAGTACACAAAATTCTCACTGGATGATCTGTCTATATATCTGTCTATACAGACATACATTAGAAATGTGAAGGCACCTATGCAGATTACCACTACTAGTATTTCTAGTGTTATTGCTGGAGTGTCTTTAGAAAAGAATATTTGCAATTGTATTAACTTTGATTATTATTCTGTAGGTGTCCTTAAAATGGAATGTTTAAAATCTTTGAATATTTAGCAATGGTGCAACATGTGTGTCAAACGTTTATGTTCTATAAATAAAACTATTCATCGGGCCGTTTGAGCACAGCTGCTCCCTTGGTCAGCAACTCCTGGAGCTCCTGAAAGGGCTTTACGCTGCCCTGACTCAGCTCTGTGCCTCTGAAGCAAAACCCACGAGAGGGGAAGCACCTGTGTCCCCAGTGATGTACCTCAAACATCGCTCACAATGTAGAATACCAGCTCAATGTCCTCATTATATTACTATGAGCCTGAATAAAAAACAGGCCTGGAGTGAAACAGGGAGCTAATACTAAAAATATGTCTTACTCTAAGTTAATATATAAAAAATGCTTTGGAAGCTGGACATGGTGGTGCACGCCTGTAATCCCAGCACTCTGGAGGCTGAGGCAGGAGGATCACTGTGAGCTCAAGACAAGTCTGGGCTACAAACTGAGTTCCATGGACAGCTTGGCAAACCATGAGGGACAGTCAGGCCCAGTCTCAAAGTGGTCACACTATTTACCACAACTTAATTTGATTTTTGTTTTGGTTTTTTTTTTTTTTTTGGTTTGTTTGTTTGTTTGTTTGTTTGTTTGAGACAGGATCTCACTATGTGTTTGAGACTGACCTGGAACTCACTAGATAGCCCAGGCTGGTCTCGAACTCACAGCGATCCTCCTGACTTTCTATATTCTGGATAGTAGGCATTTGTCTTAGGAACAGCTGGTAAAAATGTTTTCCCACACTGTAGGTTGTCTCTTAGCTCTTCTGGTGATTTCTCTTGCAGTGCAGAAGCTTTTTAAAAAGATGAGATTCCAGGAGGTGATTCTTTGTGCACGTCCACGTGTACATCTCTATGAATTGCACTCTGAGTGAACTTTCACCAATCTTCTAAGGTCGTCATACTTAGTATGTTCACTGTTGTTGCTCTCTACCATCCTTGTTATGATATTTTGTTTTGTTTTCTTCATAGAAGTAAGAAGACTGCTTTTTATATTGTATTTATTAGCCCCCACTGGTTCCACACTGCAGCAAGACAAGCGAATGCCCTGGGAGTAAGGCCCTGCCCAAGTGCTGGAATCTGCAGCCAGCGGCCTCAGCCCCGCCTCCTCCGCGTCACCTCTGAACCCCTTGCACTGCTGACCAAGGGCGCTGCAGATCGGGGGAGCGCTTTAAGCCTCGCCCTGGGGAGGCTTTGCAGGTCGGCCCGAGCTGCTCACAGGAGCCCTAGGA